GGGTGGGGTGGGGGGGGGGGGGGGGGGTGGGGGGGGGGGGGCGGGGGGGGGCAGAGAGGTTAATCAGTTAAAGTGATTTAGGGAATGTGGGTTAAACGTTGGGACAGGTTAGCATAGAAAGTTTTCACACTAACTTTAATTTGCTGATATTCATTAACATCATGCAGCAGTAAAGAATTACACAATTATATTCAATACTTGTATTTATCAAATCACAAAGATCAGAAACTAATTTGCTCTTGTGAAACTGAAATTGTGCTTCTGGATAACGTCTGATGTGCGTTGAGATATTCGGCCGAACGTTAACGAGGTGATAACATGACTAACGGTACGAGCTATTTATTATTCTCTTCATCAAGACAAGACAAAAAGTGAATCAAGGACGTGGGTGTGATGGTTAATCCTGAACAGGGCTAATTCTACTGGTTCAGTGAGCTAAACGCTGACATCAGCAGGCTAACACGCTCACAATGACCATGAGAGCTAATGATGATTGATAGGTACAATGGTTCACCATCTTAGTTTAGCATGTTAGCTAACACACTGAATGTCATTAGTTTTGTATTTTGGTGGAAAAACAAAGTATTGCACAAAGTGAAATGTTGATGAAAAGTGAATGAACACAATCAGTGAGATCAGCCGGAGTAATGTGTGAACATTTTGCCGAACCGTCCGATAGATATCGATCTCTCAGGAGAAGTGAAGACTTTGACCTGCTGGTCAGATGATCACCAGACTCAGAGGATTCTTAACATTTGTATTCTCGTCATATAAAATGACACTAAATATACAAGAAGTGGACGTAGTCACGGTGAAGTCACACATTGGTTTGTGGACTACGGGTTTGAAAACTAGAGTTCAGCATTTAACAATTTTACCATCATGAAAGTGATTCTGATTCTGGCAACTTGACTTCTGTGCAACCAGAAGTGACACGAGAGGGCGGAGCTAAGTACAACTGGATGTTGCAAATGACTTTCAGAAGTGAAAACAAACTGTGAAAGAGTTAAACTTGTAAGACGAAAACACGGACAACGTCTCTGGTAGAGACCTGTCAATCACCGTGTAGCCCCGC